TGGAACCGCTGGTAGCGGCCCACCTCCTACCGAGGATGGGCCCGTCACCAAGCAGGTACCCCACGCTGCCAGCAAAGTCGGACCGATTTCAGTCGACAATGACTGAACGGTCCTACAAAGCCGCAGCGTTGTCCGCCAGGGCCCTGAATGTGTCCTCGCTGCTAACCGCTTACCAAGCGGAGCTCTGCGAGGACCTGTCAGGTAACCCAGGGGCAGCCACTCTGGACGAGATGGCAGCGGTCACGGACATTTGTCTTCGTGTCCAACGCTGCGCCGTCCAGGCCACGGGCAAGGCAATGGGGATCATGGTGGTGCAGGAAAGAGCGAGATGGCTCAACCTCACCAACCTCCCAGACCGGGAAAAGGAGGATGTGCTGGATATGCCCATCGTTCGCGAGGGAATTTTCGGCTCCGCTCTTGCTTCCATGCAAAGGAGGTGTGAGTCGAAAAAGAAGGAGGACGAGGCACTCCACCTCTGCCTCCCTCGAAGGGTCCAGCCGCTGCCTTCGCAGCAGCAGTCCTTCGCAGCAGCAGTCCTTCGCAGCAGCAGTCCTTCGCAGCAGCAATCCTTCGCCCAAGCTGCCTCGAACCCTGCTCGGTTTAAAACACCGAAAACGCAGAGGTCGCAGCCCGCCCCGAGTCCCCAGCCCAGGCTGGAGACGAGGGCGAGCTGGCCTAGAAAATCTCCGGTTTCCGGCTGCAGCTCAGGCGGCAGCCAACCCAGAATTTCGGCCAGCAGTCGAGGAAGAAGAAGCGAGCAGCGTGACAGCCCCTCCTTCTCCCCTCTGTGACAGAGCTGGAAGTTCACGGTTCCCCAGCTCTAAATGTGTTCCCGCCGCCTCGAGAGATGCCTCAACACCATCCTCAAGTCCGCACAAACACATGTCACACATTTGTTGATTTTTCTGTCATAAAACATTTGCCGCTGACGCATCCAGGCTTCAGGCCGAGGGCGCAGCTCAAAAAAATGATAAGAAAAACAATAAAACCAATAAACAGCCCGTCAACTGTTCCCCTTCTGAGAGCAGCTACGGCATCTCTCAAAAGGCGGATTACAGGCGGGTCTGTGAAGGCACCACCGCCACGCGCATGCGCAGTGCCGGCTGCGGCTTTAAAGGCACCACCGCCACGCGCATGCGCAGGGCCGGCTGGGGTTGTGAAGGCACCACCGTCATGCGCATGCGCAGTGTCGGTGGGGATTGTCGAAAAGGGGCACCACTGTGTTCAGACACTAGAGGGCCCCATAACACAACAAATAGAGACTCAGAGGGGAAGAGACGTGGCTCTAAGGAGCATGCAGTGGAAGATGCTCACATCATCTGCTTGGGTTTTCAAGACAGTAACACGGGGCTACAGACTCCAATTCGCTGTCACCCCCCCTCGCTTCTCGGGCATTCTGCATTCGCAGGCCCGAGGAGAGTCAGCCCATATTCTGGAGAGAGAGATTCTCTCTCTCCTAGAAAAGAGGGCTACAGTATATCTATTGTACCCGCCGAGCAGAGTCAGGGCGGCTTCTATTCCAAGTACTTCCTCGTTTCCAAACGGGGAGGGAACGGAATTCGGCCAATACTTGATTTGAGGGCTCTGAACAAATATCTAAAAAGATATAAGTTCAGAATGCTCACTCACACATCTCTGCTGCGGCTCGTGCGACAAGACGACTGGTTTACATCAGTCGACCTGAAAGATGCGTATTTTCACATCCCAGTATATTACCCACACAGGAAATATCTGAGATTCGCATTTCAGGGGATCTGTTATGAATACAGAGTACTCCCCTTCGGTCTGTCTCTCAGTCCAAGGGTGTTTGTACGATGTACGGAAGCCGCGATAGCCCCGTTAAGACAACAGGGTATTCGCCTGGCGACCTACCTGGACGACTGGCTGCTTCTCGCACAGTCGGAGCAGGAGGCTGTTACGCAGACAAATGTCCTCGTAAAGCACCTGCTCAACCTGGGTTTCATAATAAACACAGAGAAAAGCATGTTGTGCCCCGCGCAGACTATACTCTTCCTGGGTTTACACCTGAACTCGGTGCCCTTTTCAGCTCGCTTGTCAGCGGAAAGAGTGAAAGCTTTCAGAGCTTGTCTCGCTCTTTTCCAGCTGCGCAAACATGTTCTCTTCAGATCATGCCTGCGATTGCTGGGGCTCATGGCGTCAGCCATCCTGGTCGTACGACTGGGACGCTTACACATGAGGGAGTTTCAGCGCTGGGTGGCCGCCCTAAAACTAAACCCCGCGCGTGATGGTTACTGTGAAATGCGTAATGGCACTGCGCCACTGGCTGCACCCGACTTTTCTAGTACGAGGTGTGCCTATGGGTGCTGTCCTTTCACGGAAAGTGGTCACCACGGACGCATGTCTGATGGGGAGGTATTTATGAAGGTAGCCCGGTGAGGGGTCTCTGGAGCAGAGACCTCCAGCGGGCGCACATAAATTACCCTGGAGCTTTTAGCGGTGTTTCTCACCCTAAAACGCTTGTGTCCTGGGCTAACCCTTATAACGGCAAGCCTGTTACTAAGCAACGGCTCTCCCACTGGTTTGTGGAAGCAATTGCTTTGGGGCTCATACGAGTCAGAGTTCGCAGGCACCCTCGGGTCCGCGAGCTCTTTCGACTCAGGGTCTGGCTGCATCCTGGACTCTGTCCAGGATGTCTCCCATCCAAGACATTGGTGCAGCGGCGAGCTGGTCCTCGCCGCTCACTTTTGTCCGCCTCTTAACAGGCTGGACGTTCTGCTCCCAGTGTGACTCAAGCAGTGCTGGGCACCTGGTTGAGTCAGAGCTCTACCTGTTAAGTTCTGGTTGGTTTGGTGATTTTCGAGATAAGCTCGTCTGACAATACGGGAGCTACAATTTCCCATAGTGAGACATCGAACGGAGTGTTATGAATGAGAACTATAGGTTACTTACGTAACCCCAGTTCTCAGAGTAACATGAAGTGAGATGTCTCACCAGACGGCCCTCCTTGCTATGGTGAAGCGAGAAGAGGTGCTTATTTTGAATGACGCATGCGTCGTGGCGCAAGCTACTTATAGGGGGTGAATTCCCTGACGTCAAGATCACTAGCCAATCAGGATTGGCGTAATGAGATTGATGCTTCCGTTTGCTCCGCGATGAGGCGCATCCCATAGTGAGACATCTCACTTCATGTTACTCTAAGAACTGGGGTTACGTAAGTAACCTATAGTTTTCACTCCCTGTGCTAAACGGCTCGATGGAGTTCCTGCCCCCACCCTCCTGTGCGTCCAGTGTGCTCCGATTGGTCAGCTCTGCCACTCTGTTCTGATTAGTCAACCACCAGAGAGGCTCTGCCCCTGTTGACATCTGCCGTAAAGTGGTTTAGCGGGTACTTAGCAACATAGCAATACTAGATTTGAGAATCGATAGATAGAGAGTTATATAGATAAATAGATAGCTTACATATAGCATACAATGGCGTATGGAGCATACAATTTCGAACCTCCGTTCGATCCTAGAATAGACCAAATCGCGAGTCTTGCCTCGCCGTTCACTAGAGCAGACCAAACTGTGTCATTGTGGTACGTTTTTATCTAGTATATGTCTTGCATTTCAGATGTCATCAGATGTACCTACAACTGTTGTTATTTAGGTGCCGTTGTGGAAACTGCGCTTTGATGCCAAGTGACGGAGAAAACGTGTGCTGCAATAGCATAAGAAAGGTAGCCTAACTTAGTTATGGCGCGTTTCCACTGCAGCGGGTAGCCCCGTTTAAGCGTCCTTAACCGTCCTCAAGCGGCCAGGCCGGTTTTTGGTGGCGTTTCCATATAGCCTAGTACCGGCCAGCGGGTACTTTTTCCCTCTTTTTCCGGCCTCATAAAATCGTGGTTCCCTCAGACCAGGGCCAGGGCTGAACTAGTGACGTCAACACTCTCGACTGCTGATTGGTCAGAGAGAATCGTCACAAGATTGCGCGCGAGTTCATCCCTAGCGTCGCATATATATTTAGAAGCAAGCTTGCAGCATTTTTATAAACAGCATTTTGTAAACGGATGAGCTACAAAAATGGCTACGTTTAATAAGAAAAGCACACCGTGGTCGACCGAGGAGGTGACGACGTTCCTACATCTCATTGGGGATGATCAAATCCAGCGGGAGCTCGACGGAACAACTCGAAATGTGAACAAAAACAAAGCCGATCGCCCCGCCTACACTGCGTTGCTACCCCAGGTCCTAAACTGTAATGGAAATGCGCCACGGCCTGGGACGGCCAGCGAGGCAGTCCGAGGCCAGAGCGAGGACGCTTAGGGACGCTTAACGGGGCTACCCCGCTGCAGTGGAAACGCGCCATTACATTATGTCGGCAGCTAGCTGAAAACACCAACAGTAGCACACCAAGATATACAGCATACATATATTTCAAGTCAATAGACTATTATTACTTCCTTAGTAATTGAATGTTTATTTTGTAAACCTTTCCCATAGTTGGTTTAATTGCTAAACGTGTTTTATAACACATCTTACCTTCATAGGTTGTAACACGCATGCTGCAAGTTCCAGAACACATTAACTGCATGGTTGACCACCCAGGACTAGAGCCTAACTGCTTGAACCCATACACCCTGCAGAATCTCCACAATATTTATAAATACAGTTTTGGACCTTTGACAAATACAAAGTAAGAAGAGTAAGTTATTGTTACCTGTAATAAACTACTACCGTTTGATGAAAAATCAAATCATGGTTTGCTATATATGAATGATATGTTATAGGAGCAAATAATTCAGGAAAGAAAGGCTACTAAGTATTTCCTTCAAACTTTATTTTTACAAATGTACAAAATGTATATTTATACACTGTACATCATCCATTCCTCTCCCGATAGGCGTTTTCGATATCTTGCGTATCGCAGCTTTGTAAGCTGGTGCTGGGGATATTTAGGGCGAGGCATCAGAGTGGTGATTCCGTCGTGTGTTGTGCTCCGGATCCGCCAGGAGTTTCCAGATCTGGCTGGACAATATGTAGGATTTCGACCTCCTTTGGGGGGAAACGGCTGACAATCATTTCTGGGGGGCCTGTCAAATTGAGTTGAGACGTGGATTCGTTTCAGCTCGTACACAAAGGGTGTAGGGTCCAGAAAGACTTTGTGAAACACAAGCCTCGTCAGCTCATCCACATAGACTGAAAAAGAAAGCATTGTATAAATAATTTGTTATTGTTATTCACTTTTTGTATTTAATGTAATACTTTTATTGTTCATTGTATCTTTAATCATTTGAAATGTAAGTTCTGTTAATAATAATAAAAACAAATATTTCACAACTTACTGTATGTAGGGTCGTTCTTAACAGGCTTGACCGTACACTCTCCCCTCTTTGATTTTGGATAAGCCAATTTGAAGACAAGTTTTCCTGCAGCAGTTGTCGCTTGGTCACGCCCAGCATTCTCGTTGTGATGCATTGCTGCTAGACACAACCTATAGAATAGCAAAATAAAATGAGACTTTGTGTTATGACAGAATAAAACCCTCATGCCACTAAACAGTGACTGTGTTATAAGATGCTACAGAATAAAGTATACAGTGTATTACCTGCACAACATTCCAATGAAGGGGAAAACCACATTTTTGGGGGAAAACGCAGAATTAAGTTGTGAAAGGACTCCAGGGATGAGGTCTGGTAGTGATGGCTTAGCTTTAGCACATCTTTGAGAACTCTCTTGTTGGTGAGTATCGTTTCAACTCTGGCGAGTGTTATTGAGCCTTGAGTAAAATGACAAAGACATTAGGTAAATCACCAGCACATTAGAACATTACAACAATAATTTGCCATAACAACAATGTTATATTTACATTCTATATTGTTGATCTTATGAAGGAAGTGAAATATTGAACTTACCACCTTTTAGGTAAGGTTTATTTGCATCGCTTGCGGCTCCTACAGAATGTGTGCACTTGGGGAACAGGGGGTCATCATGCACGTGAACGTTTTGTAGGTGGTTGACCAGTGACGTCCACCTTGTCACCTTCTCCGGCTCTCATATCTCCTGCAACCTTTCCCCCCTGTTGTTGTAGATTATCGAAATTCTGCTGCTGATCAGTGTTCCACTTGTGGATAATAGCAGGCTCCAGGTAACTCTTAGCATGCCTCCTGAAGGTCCCATACCCGATGATCTCCAGCTGCATGGCTCTGCATATCTATGAATAAATAGAAAAAAAGGAAACGTTTTTGAAAAAGTCCACTGCTGTCATTTTTCATGCGCTATAGATGTTAGAGATGGTAAAATACCTTTCGTAGTTGGAAGAAGGAACCCCCAGTGAAGTATGTAGCAGCGGATAATTGTAAGTTGCCAACCGGGGTACTTCCGATGACGGGCTGGCTCTCCCATTTTCTGAAGTAACTGCAGTTTGAACAACGCTGTGTGAACGCCACAGGTCCCCACTTTTCTTGTTTGGACATCACAGTCTGTCTTACACAACGGACATTTTTCAAACAGCTGTCTGAGGCAGCTTTAAAAAACAATGTACTTTACGTCACGGTGCGTGGATTGTGCCTGTGGTCTAATGTAACAAAAAAATTAATACGTTTTAGATTTCAACTCTGAAAAACAGTAATAGTAATGTGTACCAAATGTACCAAACTTACGATACGTCGCATTCTTCTACAGTATCATCAGGGTGGTAACTCGAACCCAGAGTCTCCTCAAATTCTGTCGACGTCTCCTCCTTGTTCCCGCTTGTTCCTCCTCCAACTCTAGTCGAGGTCTCTTGCTAGGTCCCAAGCCTGGGCCCTTTATTGGTGTAGAGGACAAGGGGATTTCTTTGTAGGTGGAAGTTTTAGTGCCAACACTTTTGAAAGACACCGTGGCCTGGATGCCTGTTAATAAAAAGGGAAAAGTGCATAAATACTCTGTACATTAGATAAGACACTAATACATTGTAAAAGGCCAACAACTTGTGTACATCTGACAGATTAATTCATGAAAAATGTACAAACTACAAACAGCACTGTATTTCTTGTAGTCAACATAACAGTATTTCTGAGATATACAATAATATCAAATAAGGTTTTATTTATAGAGCACATTTAAAAACGATTTTTGGTCGAGCCCAAGTGCTGCATATGTAATAAAAGCACAATTAAGGTAATGTATCTGTGATTTGTCAGTGTTATAGTCTACCTTTGCTTCTCACGTGTGCCGATTTCAGTGTTCCCCGGGCCAACTGTGTAGCAACAGAAATGGCGGACACTTTACATTCCACTGTCTGTGTTCCCACAGACCGTGTCTCAACCAAGCCCCCAGGAAGTGCGCCGGACTCAGATGAAAATATTCGTGCTGGTCAAACGGCGGTACTACACTTCAGTTTGATTGCCAGGCCCGGAAACACTTTTTCCCATTGACTTACATGGGGAAAGAGTGGTCTGTAACTCGTTGGATAATTTCTTTTAAACTAAATAAACTACCCAGTATGAACACTTGTATAGCCCTTATTAAAAACATTCGTTCCTCAAGTTGTAAAAATGTGCTAATAACGTTATTCTGAGAGTTATTTCCCTCTGCATTATGAACGTGCATCTAACCCACGGGACCGCGCCGCCCGGCACGTTCATGTTACGTGTCCCGACCAATCAGAGCACACTGTGCTCACAGGTAGGGTGGGGCTGGAGCTACAACGAGCCGTTAAAGGCAGAGAGTGAAATTCAGTGAATACACATAGTTTACAGAGATGCTGTATGAGAAACCAATGTGAGTTGCGTTTATCTTTACCCATGGATGCACAATAAGAACGGATCCATATCGTCTTACTGCCATCCCACGGAGCTGTAATAATGGATATATTGCACATGTTTGCTGTAATTCATTATCATACTACATGGGCTGTATGATTAAATCTTGTACCGTAAATGTTGTATTAAATAAAGTTAATATTACCGACATTATTAACGTCCCTGTAGCTTCGTATTGCACTAAGAAGCTTATTGCACTGTGTATATATATATATATATATATATATATATATATATACAGTGCAATAATAATTTCATGCTAAATGAAGCTCTGTTGGATATCACTAGATCCTGTTACAGCGTAATATAAGTACATAACGATTGATGTGTACATTAGCATCATTACTAGCTAGCCGCTAGCTGCCGCCTCGTTCATATCAAATCCATGATAACAACAATCCATTACCATGCTGTCATGAACGCACGGTGCTGTTACGTGTACGCAAATTGACGTGCTTGATGTGAACGAGCATTTTGGTTAAAGTTGCGCATGCTCTATGAGTGCACATACGGGTACTTCTCAGGCATGCTGGGTAATCTGTGACGTTTCACTCTCTCAAAAGTTGGGCCATTTTATCATCATGCACTAATGAGCAGCTCTCATAGGAATGAATGAGGCCCCGCCTCCCACGCTGTATCCAGTTATTATACATCCATGGTCTCAACCCTCTGAGTTCCCACACAAACAGTCTGTTTGACATCCGACTGTACTGGAGCAGTTGGTATTGTGTTCCTGCTGTGATGTACTCTAAGAAAGATACACATAGTATTCATACAATTAATTTTGTATCCGAGGAAAACAGTCAATTTCATAAAAGCAACACTTTTACAATTACAATGTTCTACAGATAGTCTGCTACCTTTTCCCATGTAGCGTAATATTTCAGACTTTGTAGCTCAGTAGCATAGCTGCTAGGACCGCCAACTTCAATGTAATTATGTTTGGCGACTGACCGTACGTTAAATCAGCCAGAGTATACTGTCTATGAGTATTTCGTGTGTATTTGCAGACGAAATTCTCCAGCTATGATTATCTATCAGTAATCAACACAGTTAGCTTGCCAGCTAATATGCAGTTTAACAGCTAGTCTAGGCTTAGCAAGAACATCTTACAATTTCAATATTATACAGTTAGTCTGCGTTCGGTCATTCATTGTAGCTGGTATGAAAACAATGTTTTTCATAACATCTCTAGGTTAGAGCTTCTAGCTTAGCTTATTAATGATAGCTCGGTAGAATACACGAACGGCAACTGTAATTACTGACCGTACGGTTAAATCACCCGGAGTATACTGTCTATGAGTATTTCGTGTGTGTTTGCAGACATTCTCCTGCTATGAGATACATGTAAGCCATGTGCTAACATCGGTGTTGAGGTCTGCTAGGTAGCCCTCGTGTTTACCTCGGTAGTATATCATTAGCATAGCATAGCATTTACACAGTCGTGGTAGATACATTGTTTATTTTAAACAGAATAATTACACAAACCACAATGAATACTTACAGGTTGTGTACCCGAATCTCCCGCTGGTCCAAACAAAGTAGGAACAGCGTCGTCCTCCAATATCAGCTTTGCAAGTCCGAAGCTAAACATTGTTAAGTTTTTAAAGCTTTGGTCCGTGAAATGCCGCGCATACACAACAGTACCGGCTGGTAAATCAGCTGGAACAGTGTTAAAAAGGAATGTCAACCACTGACTTCGTCGTGGTTCTGCCTTCGGTACTGCAAACATTGTGGATTTCTCCACACGATACAGTCAACAGACCCTCCGCGACATGACTGGATAGAGCTTTGAAAAGAAGCAGGTTTTACAACACTTAATATGGTCGGCTGGCAGAGGAAGTGACGTCACGCGGTGCAGCTACGTCACGCGGGGCAGGAAGTAAACAATGGAAACTGAGAAATCTCCAACGAGGCTTATGGGGGAGGTATTTTCTGTGTTAGAGTTTTACTCCCTACAGGGTGTACTTTGAGGGGTTTTGACTTTGCAGACTGTTTACATGCATGGACACCTTCATAACACACAAGGAGACGGGTAATAACCGGAAAAGCATGCAATGGGCCCTTTAAAAAGAACTACAAAAATGTGAGAACCCCTTTTGTACAAATAAATATAAAAAGTGTTTCAAATCCAATTTTATTGAAAATGATGAACAGATTCCTACTTTTATATAGATACATACCATAAACAATCGTCTTTGATATGTATTGCTTCTTTTTTATAATAAAAGTGTCATGTCAGTGCTTTCTGGTAGATACACTACAGTTGCAATGTATTTTCTTTTCATTGGAAGAAAACCCAATCACTCACTGGACGAGAAGCCCTCATAGGAGCAGTTTGACCGGCGCCCGCTGTGGCTGATCGCCTCCATGGTGACGGTGTAGTTGGTCCCACAGGTGATGCATCCCATGAGGCAGTGGGAGTCCATGGTGTGGCAGCGGGCGTGACCACGCGTTGATGTTAGGGAAGTGATGAATGTATGCGCCCCTTTAGCGGGAGACCATGACACATTGCTCATTGCCTGCGTCACCTGATCCACCGTCAGATCCACCGGGCAGCACGGTCCTGTAGAAGAGGATGATAAATGTGGTGTTGAGGAGTGGAACACAAAACTACCATCTGTATCAAAATCAGAATCCCTATATTCGTCCCACAGAGGGGACATTTACATTCGTTACAGCAGAAAAGAGCAAAAGACAGCTTGATATTAACTAAGATATCAGTTTTTATTACAAATATATCGGTGTTCGTATTCCGTGCTGAGGAACCCTGAAGGTGTTCTTGAGGCTGTACGTGGCGCTACACGTCACTAGCATGCTATTATATTGATGTTTTTAAGTCCTTCCCGTGCTTTATAATAAAATGGTTCAATCACAACTTTTGACCACTCACCTGTTTCCAACAATTCAGAGTAGCTGGGTAAACCCAAGCCTGCGGGGCTGGTTGCTATGACGCTGACTTCAAAGTTAGAGCCACAAGGAAGGTCAGTGATGTCGCAGCTGTTTCCGTCTGTGTTGCAGGTGCGTGTGCCGTCATCTCCCGACGCTGTCACGGTGTAATTAGCAAGCCTGTTGTTTGGAGTCCAGCTGACACTGAAGCAGGAGGAGTTTCTCTGAGTCAACATCAGATTCATCGGCATGCATGGAGCTGACGGGTGGAGGAAAAGAGGAATTAAGAGCATGATCAAACCTTTGAGACTACTCCACATACAGTACATGAGGAATGGATGTAGGCCTATGTGTAGTTTTAAAAGATACTGTATAGCTCTCTGATGACCAGTCTAGTTAATAATATTAGATATCAAGCATTTGAAGTCATTCAAAACTTTTTTTTTAACTGCTGTTTAAATGGAAAATCTGGATATTTGCTGGATACATGTGGGCACACGTTTCCTACCTGTGATTTGTGTGTGAGCTTTGCATGCCCGGTTGCATCCACTGATGTCGTTGCAGGGTGTCAACACCACGCTGTAGGAACTGTCGCAGCTGAGGTCAGAGAGGGCGCACACCGGAGCCGTGTCGTTACACAGGATGACCTCTGAACTGTCTGCAGCTCGAGTCTGGTACAGCTCTGCCCCCCGAGAGACCGTCCACGTGATCTCAAACGTGTCAGTGCTCACGGCGGAGATGGATACACCCTCTGGACAACAGGGCACTGAAAGACACACAGGGGGTGTGATACACAGAAAATCATGAATTCAAATCTGTCCCCTCAGTGGCTACTTACAGGTGGTGTAGTTGAGAACCTGTCCTTCAGGACTGCTGCCAGCCTGGTTGAAGGCCATCACAGACATCAGGTATGTGTGGCCACATGTGCAGTTGTAGGTGCAGCTCCTGCTGGTGGTGTTGCAGCTCTCCTCTGCACCGTCTCCTCTCTTGATGAAGGCTGTGTAGCTGTTGACGTGAGTCACCGTGTCCCAGGTCAGCGTGCAGCTTCCTTCTGTCGACTCCACAACAGCCAGAGACTGTGGGGGGCAGGGGACTGACCGGACAGGAGAGCAGGGAGTTTAGTCATATTTTAATGACTGAGGGTTTCAGAGCAAACTAATGCTGCCATCATTTTAATCCACATCTAGCACTAATGTGTTAATGTTAGAATTCTACGTATAACATAATAAAGTTTCTCATTAAACAACTAAATGTAATCATAACTCTTGTAGCGAAGTGTATGTTCAAAGTATGTTTTATTTCATTGCATATTATATTTAATCTATTCAATTGATGAGAAAATTAACACTTCTGATGGGAAGAAAAAGCTTTATGTATTTTATGTTTGAAGAGAATGTGAAGATGGAATCATCTTATAGCTGTCTCGTAAACAGATCATAAATATGCAAAGACAAATAGATTTCTAGTCAACTTTCAAAGTAAACCATTTTGATAATCCATTAATGGAAGGATCAGAGGTTCAAATTGATCCTGTAGTCACATTTATGGCATCGAAGTGTAAGGAACTTTGGATAAAAGTGATGCTAAATAAGATGTAATGAACTAAATAACTTCCAACCAACACTTATACAGTATCTTGTGATTAATCCAATACTCCTTGCATTATTATGGCTTGCTCATTATATGTCTACGGTGCCCTATTACAAACAGATAGTTTACAAGTGTGATCGGAAATAAATGTAGTCTAATACTCACAGGTGATGAACACCACGGGGCCGGATGGATCGCTGGGCCCGGCCTCGTCGGAGGTGCTGACCCGGACGGTGTGTACCTCTCCGCAGCCCACTGGAGACAGGGTGCAGGAGCTGGATGTGGAGTTACAGGTGAGGTTCTGGTCGCTCATCACATGGTACTGGAGGGACCCAAAGACCCCCTCATCCCGTTCCAAGGACACTGAGATACCGGCCAAACCGTTATTCATCACCATGGAGACATTGGCAATAGATGGCACAGCAGGTCCTGTGAAAACATGCCCAATGATGCATTAAATACAAGTACACATAAAAACACACTAATAAAAGGAGTAGTATAATTAGAGTATTAGTTTCTAAATTACTCTTACCAGTAATGTTTCGTGAGGAAAATGTTATTACTAATAATACTGTATTCATCAGATGGCTGCCGTTCTTAGATTTAGATTTCACAGAACAAAGGGTTTTAATACTATTTCAAACAACTTCAGTCATGTTTTATGTAGCTTATAGAGGCTACATCCCATGATAATCATTTGAAGATATATGTTTTTACACACTAGAAAAAGGTCTGTGACTGTGGCAAGTTTATTTAAAATTGCAAGCCTAGTTAATATTTTCTCTTATCACTACACGTATAATATTTCTTACATGATCAAAAAGAAAGACACATGGACTCTATATACTTATAGGAGCAATCATGGGTATTTCCCACACAGAAAAGAGTCTCGGTGCACGCTTACTTGTCATCTGGTCGATGTACAGACTGTCCTCTCCCTGGCGGCCCTCGGGGTCCCAGGCGAAACCCTTTATGACGTAGACTGAGCCCATATCCAGGCCGGAGACGATCCAATTGGTGTTGGAAGTGTTGTGCTTGATGATGGTGGTGTTCCAGGCAAACTTGTACAGAGACAGGCTGTACTGGACAGCGTTGGCAACAGGAGCCCAGGACACAGTGATGCTGTTGTTGCTGGGAGAGGAGGCGGAGAGCTGAGGAGGGGGCAACACTGTGGAGGGGGACAAAGTTTAACATTATGAAGCAATTAGGGCGACTGTACTTTGAGTAAATATGTTTCTCTTGACTTTGATTGTTGCTTACTTGTAATGTAAGATGTATGCTTTTGAAGCCAAGTCTTAAGGGAATAAATATCTTGAGTCATGTTTCTGGTATGTTTTACAGCAGTCCTAGTCAAGCCCTTGCTTTTTGTGAATCACATTTTTTTATTGTCAGTAGTCACAGATCCAAGCAGTGATGTCAGAATGTGGGCTGCACCCAAGTATCAGCCACTTCAGACTTTTATGCACCAACTACAAAATGAAAATCATAGTTTTCATGTTGTTCATTCAAGGAAGCAAAATCAAATCAGAGGTGAATAATGGCAAACAAAAACGATGCGACTGCCTGTAGCATGTTATTTTTTACTCATGTGGATCAGATAGTCCCCTGGGCCCAGGAGTTCAAAACTTTTAATCCCCATCTGATCAGATTTGGATTTTGGGTAGTTCAAAACCAAAAAACAGGATTAGGATCACTTTGATATCCAATCAGATCAGGAAATCCAAGCTTTAATCTGGATCAAATCTTCAAAACGGGTAGTCAAACCGAAAACACAGGATTGGGATCAATTTGATCAACAAACTGGATTATCCTGATCCCACCAGAGGGGTGGATCTCCAGTGGATTACCAGAGCAAAACGTACTGTACAATTTATTTTAAAATATGTTTCAATTTAAATAAGATGGCAAAGTTTGTTAACTGAAATAATACACAATTTAGCCTTCATGGGAAATACATTTTATTTTTGGTCATGTTTGTGGTGGCCTATTTTGTTTTCAACCAAATGTTGATGACATAAATGTTTATGCTCATTAAAGTATCACAAAAATATAATTAGACATTGTAGATGTCTCTGCAACGTGGTCTCTTGTCTTCCTTGTATTATTTTTCATATCCACTAGATGGAGATCGGTAGGATTAAATCACTGATATTCAGGATCTAGTCATCTTGAAAAGTCGTAATCTGGATCAGAGTGATCCTATCCTGAATTGCTTTGAACTACTGGGACAAAGTCTGGCCGAGTTGTCTGATCCTGGATCACAAAACATGGGATTTCAAAATCTGATCGGATCTGATTGAGATTAAAAGTTTTGAACTCCTGGGCCTGGGGATGGAGTAGAGAGGTGCCAGCCATGTTCTCAGGATCAGGTCCTCCTATTGTGTTCAACAGAGAAGGGTCCAGTATACTTACCGTCTTTACTGGAAAGACCCTAAGCCATTGAGCGGTAAGAAAAACCCTGGATTCTTTTTGCACAAAAACTGAAGATAATGTGTATAATTCCATGACAGGACTATATACTCTGCTAAGAGACAATTAAGGAGATCAAGTTACTTCTACAGGGTATGGAGACTGAGAAGAACAGCGCATATTGTTTCTTACTGAATATGTGACTCATTGCTATAATCCAGCCCTTGGGGGTTAATTGTTTACCCACTGAATACATTTGAGGTTTTGTTTCTCAATCTTGAATTATGGACACAAACGCTACAACAGTACCTGTCTTTGCAGTCACAGGGGAAGATGGCTGGCTCTGACCTCCACTGTTCACAGACATGATGCTGAGTGAGTACTCTGTGTACGGGTCGAGGGACTCAATCTCAGCGGGGGAGGAGGACACAATGTTTTCTCTGATGAAGCGGTTGGGATTCTGCAATCGTATGATGTAAGATGTCGCCCCGGTCTTCAAGCTGAAAGACACGATAAAAGTCTTGCTGTCCTTTGACTTCATTGTCAGGAGGGGATCCATCACCTCAGGAGCTAAAAGATTCACAAGAAATACAGTTTGACGAGATACTACACCTTCTCAGCGTTAGTTGGCAATGCAATCCATCTTTTTACCCACAGATTTCAGGGCAAAATATTTATTTTGTGTCTGCAACAGTACGTCAATTTGAATGCTGAATGTAATAATAAAACTATTTGTTTTAATACTTTTATATATACATTTTGTTTTAATACTTTTATATATTATTAAAAGGCTTATTTAAATCATGAGGCACTAACAGTGACTCTTCTGTGCTCCTCTGCTCATCATCAAAGTACTATTTAGGTGTTTTAAATGTACACGTTACATTAGTTATTCAGATAACAAATGGTTAAAAAAAAACATTCTGACTGTAATGTGTATATACACACTAAAGACAAAGGTATTGGGCCACCTACAGGAGCTTTTATGACATCCCATTCCAAATTATTGGGCATTAAGTTGGTCCCCCCCCCTTTGCAGCTATATTAATTTCTGGAAAGGCTTTCAAGATTTTGGAGAATCTCCGTGCTAGTTCATCCCAAAGGTGTTCAAGTCAGGGCTCTGTGCGGGCCAGTCAAATTCTTCCACACCAAACTCATCCAACCAGGCCTTTATGGACCATGCTTTGTGCACTGGCACAGTCATGCTGGAACAGAAAAGGGCCTTCCCCAAACTGTTTCCACAAAGTTGGAAGCATATAATTGTCCAAAATGATGAAGCATTAAGAATCACCAGAAAAATAAACCCATAGCATTATCCCTCAAACTTTACAGTTGGCACAATGCAGTCCGGCAGGTAACGTTCTCCTGGCATTCGCCAAACCCAGACTCGTCCATCAGACTGCCTGATAGAGAAGCGTGTTTAGTCACTCCACAGAACACGTTTCCACTGCTCTGCATGGCAGCACTCCGCAGTTATCGAGTCAGAGCTCTGGCGACTTTTAAGCACTCTGCGACCCCGCTCTGTAACTTTACGTGAACTTTACGTGGTCTTTACATGAGTTGCTGTGGTTCCTAAACGCTTAGACTTTGCAATAATAACACTTACAGTTGATCGTGGAATATCTACGAAAGAAGACATTTCACGAACTGACTTGTTGCAACGGTGGCATATTACAGTACCACGTTCAAATTCACTGAGCTCTTTAATAATAAATTACATTTATAAAGCACTTTTCCTGGTGCTCAAAGTGCTTTAGAACGACCCATTATTTCACAAATGTTTGTAAAGGCATACTGCAGGGCTAGGTGCTTGATTTGATACACCTGTGGCAATGGGACTGAATGAAACACCTGTATTCAATGATTAAGGAGTGTCCCAATACTTTTGTGTGTATATATATATATATATAATTAGTTTGCCCGAATATCACAGAATAAAACGGTAGGCCTACTGTACTAACTTAACTAAAACACATGCACCAGAACGTTTTTTTGTGTGTGATGAAACTAAACAATAATAAAACACTCAGTGAAGTGCTTTAACATCACAAGGTTACCTCACCTGAGGAAGAATCGATAGTTCCAATGTTTAGTATCTCTTGAGCATTATCCAGAGCTGCAACTGTGAATGTATAAATGATGTTTGGGGACAGAGAGTTGATGGTGCCCATCACTGTGTGTGGACCAAACACGGCATAACCAACGGGGTTGCCTGGGGAGTTCTGGGGGGCGGCGATGACCTTGTATGAGCTGGCTCCGTAGACCCTGGTCCATCTGAGAATCGCGCTCTTCGATGTTGCAGAGAACACGGATACTTCGATATCTGATGAGAGAGCATCTTTTAAGTAGCCTACTTTTTTACACCCTGAGAAATTGATTCATTTACAGATACCATCAATATTGTGTTCATTCTCATATGAAAATGATATTACCATCTGCAGTGTAGTTATGGTAAAATATAAAATACATACCTTGTGCTGCAGCCTGCAAATGTAGATAAGAAAATAAAAACGGTTATGGTTTTATATGAAATTCAAGTTCCTACTACTTGACTGTAACATTGTATCACTCCTTTTTAAAAACAGGATTTCTGAGCCTGAAATGAAATAAGCAAAATGACTATAACACATTTTAGTCCGTTACTTTACCTGTGAGCATATGCTCAGCAAGACAAAAATCGCTGGCCACTTCATATTTTCTTGAAGTAAAATGTCAAAAATGACTTTTCTCCTCACACTATGCAGCTTCTGTTGGATTCAAATGCTTCTCTCTTCAAGGTTTCCCCTTTTTCTAAACATACTTTGTCTGTGCTGGTCTAAATAGCTGCATTTGGTCCCTCCCACTAAAGCAATTGACCAGTCACAGTGAAGTAGCGTAATAGAGAGGCGAAGTCCCTCCCCTTCCGTTGGACCTTATTTCGGAAAAATTATGTATTGAAGTCAATGGCGAGAGAAAGATTATCTTTCGACCCCGTTTGAATTGTGCCACGAATTACACATATGATGCTTGTCAATTTAAAAGATAATTTTGCAAGTCAAAAAAATAAAAATGTGTCTTAAAACTGCGAAGTAATACATTTATTTGTGTGAAACGCTCAATGAACTATGGTCTCGCACACGTCACCAACACCAAGATGGCCGTCACGTTAGCACATTTCACCTCTTTCTTTCAGAAGGCGAAAAGTATTAAAAGAGGTACAAATCACTACAAGTCTGAGCATGTTGTGAGCTGTACACGAAAAAGGGGAGTTAGTCGGTTCCGTAAGAGCCAGCATGCGGAACCGGCTTTACAGAGAAGCCCCTCAATGCAGTGCGCAATACCTCAACGTGGGCGGAGCCTCAACGCCCCTCCTTCTCAACCTTTGAGGCACGTGACGTCCCGACTCCCGTGTTGTGTAGGCTACTTACAAAAGTAACATATTATATCTGTGGGCGGGAGCCCCTCCTTCTCAACCTTTGTAACATATTATATATATATATTAACATATTATATCTTATATTATTAATATATATATATATATATATATATATATATATATATATATATATATATATAATGATACTGGTAATATAATGATACCTTGAGGTCTGTGATGATGGCGAGTGATGTCGCCATGGCAACGGCATTTACAAATGTCAAACTCAAATTAAACACATTGACAGCCTTCAAAGCATATTTTAATGTCTATTTGCATGTTAATTGCATCAATTATTTCAGTTATGACTTCAAGAAAGGGCCTTCATTTGTTTTTTAACATACACCTTTTTAATTTCAGTATAATCACTGTATTTCAGAGGCAATATTGTATATTTACTCGCTTTTTACTGATAAAAAAACATGTGATATAAATGAAATCTTATAGTACTGTATTTCCTACCAGTATTTTAAAAAATATATTAAAAAAGTGCCATCGTATTGACAAATTGATAGAATTGACAGGATAATATCAATGGTAATAAAATACTGTGAACTTAGCCATTCCGCATACTGTACTTCTACGTTTGATACTTCGAGTACATTTAGCTGATAATACTTATACTCTTTTACTTAAGAAACACTTTCAATTTAGGACTTTCAATTTTATTGAACACAGAGACAGGAATCAACAGACAAGACAGGACAAAATAAAACACAGACAGATTGTGACAACTAATACATTTTGAGGCATTAGTGAACCTAATACAGCTGATTGTAACAGTTCCCCCCCCAGCAGCGGTCACTCATGACCCCATCTCAATTACCAGCGGCCTTCAAATGATGGCCTGCTTCTTTTGTGGAACCTCACAACCTCTTCATCCTGAAATATATTTGACAAAGAGAGGTTAAATGTTTAACACTCACACTGGTTCAAGACTTTATCATTTGTGATTCAACAACTTCTACCTGCATTGCCTTTTCCTCCCGTCGCCTCTTGCAGTCTTGCGACCTCTCTTGTTCAGTCCTTGGTGAAAGAAAGACAAACATTAAAAACATTCATTAAAAATGATATAGTTTGGTTACAGTGTAACAAATAGTTTCAAGAATGCAAATGTAAATTGTAAAATTAAAGAAACATACGGCATGGGAATGTTTTTGAGGAGAACTAGGCACCACCTAATTTGCTGCATGTTCGTCTTGGAATATTAAAAGCACACAACCAGATGGGTCAACAACATATGTCCTGAAAAGTTTTGTATCTACAAGTGATATCAATGAAAAACTGAAATATGAAACCCTTATTTCTACATACCTCATTGAAATCAAATTGGACTCTTGCCACAATGTAAAATGCGTACTGTAAATAAAGAAATAGTATATTATGTTAGGTTGTTGTGAATCTATGGTGTTCATTGACAAATAATATTCCTCCGTTAATGTTGTTTTGGATATAAATAAATCACAGCATGTCTCAAACTATGAGCAATAATGGAGTGCATAGCATGCTGAAAGCATTATACATTTGTATTCATTATTATAAACAGAAAAATAGGACTACTATATGTTTACTGTATCCAGTATCTTACCATCAAAACAAACACCCCACAGTTGTTCGAGAACCCTTGTCTTGGTAGGCCATGTAGTGTGAAAAGTGTCAAAAATGACAATTGCATCATACTCTTCAGTAGAATAATTTTAACAAATCTAACCTGGACATCATCCACACCAAGACTTGCCCAAGGCCCAGGGCACAAGATCTGAGCAAGGTTTCTATGAACACAATGCATGTGAAAGTTAAGAATAAGTACAATTTAATTCAACTTTATAAGTACTCGAAAATCATGCAGAAAATCTTTGAACACTGTTGGAACAGGAACAAACTTGAACTTCCAAAAACAAAGTCATTAAGGGGTAAAACAGAACAGCCCCGCTGTCAAGTGGCATCAGGGGCGGATCTACGGGGCAGCTGCCCCCCCACTGTAGAGCCTTGCCCCCCCCAGCTGCCCCCCTAACTTTTGTTTCCCTAAAACTGTACTAAAACAAACCTACACTATTTCCACAAGCTTTTCAAGCAACAAAACAAGCATTACATTAGTTAAAAGTGAATCATTTTAAATATAATTTTAGGACCGTTAAAAACGCAGCTACGGCCCTGCATTAAACTGCGGAGCGGCATTCACACAGACCGCGGCTCACACCGCTGCAGAGAGGGAGCGAGCTGTCCCAGCACCTATGGATCAGCTTCCCCTGGGAGCATTTCCCTTTCCACTAGTTTTGTTTTTACTAAGGACGAGAGCTTGAAACTAAATATTAATAAAACGCTGCCGTTTGAATCGATAGCGTTTAACAGACGGGCGCTGTTTGGGACGTTACAAAATACTACGCAGACAACGTTAGCTGGGAGATCGATCACTTTGCTAAACTACGCGGTAGCCTACTATTACATCCACGTAAACTACACATCACAGCAATGAGGCCAGATCAATGAAACCAGGATACATCCTTTACTGTAAAAACTGGATCCAAACACAGCTGCCTGTGTGCGCTTGATCAATACTTTCTGATGTTATATGATATGCTACATATTAGCTAGGCTACATGGCCGTAACGTGTAAAGTTATACAAGCATTTGTACCAGTGCTTTTCACAAGTAGACTCCTGCAGGCCAGAGTATAGGAGTGATTCAACAACAACAACAACAACACAAAGACATATGAGAAGTGATCAGGACGAACAGAAAGAGGAAAAGGAAAAGAGAGTTCACTGAAGAGACCAGGAGGGTCAGAGCAGGAGGAGGAGATGAAGACATTAGTGAAGAAGAATAAATGTATGTGAGGAATAAAGATGAAGTGTCAGAAAGAGGGACAGAGGCAGGGATCAGGAGGCATATGAAACTCCAGCTGGACCACATGGTATGTTCTTATTCTCCTTACATATTCCATTACAGCAGCACAATCTAGCAGCTCTTAGTATTGACAAATATTGATTGAAATGTGTTGCTGCACAGGTCACCTGTAGCTCTCTGAAGAGATGGGTGATGTCATTTGTGTACTTAATTATAAGTTGAAATGTTGAGCTTGTCAATCTTAATCTGAAAATACAAAAACTGAAATATAGGTAAGAGAAGAAACGGACACTTTTGTGATGTAATTCCCTCAATGCAGATCACACATGGACTGATCCATTATTTTAATAGGAGGGTAAATGGTATGGCGTGACAGGGTTGAAACAAACTGAGGGACAATATTGCAATTTCATAGATAATTCAAGCATTTTTTCAGAATTTATTTTTGATCAGTTAAAGTTGACAAGCATATGATTATATTAGCAGCAACATTTTGGGATAATTGGCCATTTTGATTTGTTGATATTAAATTAATATGTAATAATGCTTAGTGAGGACATACAAATATGTCTGTCTAATACTAAGAAAACCAATTTTTTAAAAACAAATATATATTTAGTTTGACATTGTAATGCAAAACAACCTGTTCCATTAATTCATTGCTTTACAATACATTTTGTAGTTTCCTTTCATTTAAAATGGTTGAGGTAAGCTTGGGGGACTCAAAGGGCACCCGATTGTTTGTCTGAACACCTTGTTTCTCTTTTGCATTAAGAACACTTGTGTTAGGGCATGAATGAACAATAAATAGGTTATATACAGTATAAAATACCACGTACTGTCCGCCCTCCCATGCCACCCTGGCATGACCTCTTGACCCCCCATGTAAAATGTTCTAGAACCGCCACTGAGTGGCATCTATGGGACTGTTGTTCAATGCCTTTTATTTAATACAATGCATCCCATGTTAGTTCAAATTAAACAAAGCCATAGATTCAAAAAAGATAGACAAGTGGTCTAAAACAGAACTACCACTGTCCGGATGTGATGTAACTGTGCGCCAAAAAACCTGAATGGTTTGGTGCGACTATCATCTCTCCGGCCAGAGCCACGGAGGAGGGGATCTAGAAAGAAAATCTCCCTAGCTTGTGGCCTCAGTATCTGTTAATATCACATGTTCCAATATCAACAGGTATACTTTGACATACAAACGTTATATTATAAAGTTGTAGGATCTGTATTATACAACTAAATTAAGCGTTGAATTTAAAGATAGAAACACTATTTACGGCATGGCAAACTTCATTGTACAGTAAACAAACAATAGCAAAGACTGAACTACATGTACTTACACAGAGTGTCCAGTGTCCAGGTTCCCACACTGGAAGGATAAGCCATTGGAGATTTGCTGCATTTTCCTGGAAAAAACAGTTGTGTTGATGTGACTACAGTAATGAGTTGGTACAAGAATATAGAGTAGCAACATGGATAATCATGATAAAAATACCGGTAGGTGTTGCATAGGATTCAGCGAAGATGGTGGAAACCAGGCAGCTATAACATGGCTGTTGGCAGCAAACACACCATCTACCAGTGACGTGCGGTGAGGTTCATGGCTGGTG